GACATAGCTAGTAAGATCAACAGAAAGCCCACAGATTGGGAGAAGATCTTCACTAGCCATACAACAGACAAGGGTCTCATATCTAAAATATACTTAGAACTCAAAAAATTAAATCCCCCAACAACAAATCCTCAAAGAAACAACTGCCAGATTAATAAGTGGGCTCAAGACTCTGAAGAAGAAATAAGAATGGCCAATAGACACATGAAGAAATGCTCAACTTCTCCAGCCATAAAAGAAATGTAAATCAAAACAACAGGAGGAGGCGGCAACAATGTTTGATAAGAAATATACTCATTATCTTGCCCATGTAATTGTAACCCCTCTGCATGCATGAGGCCCTGGGTTCAATTCCTCAGCACCACATAAGCAGAAAAAGCCGGAAGTGGTGCTGTGGCTCAAGTGGTAGAGTGCTAGCCTTGAGTTGAAGAGCTGTGGGACAGTGGGCACCCAGGTCCAGAGTTCAGGCCCCACGACTGATAATAAAAAAAAAAAAATTAGAAACATTGAGATTCTACCTCACCCCAGTTAGAATGGCTATAATCAAGAAATCTAATAACAACAGATGCTGGAGGAGATGTGGCCAAAAAGGAAACCCTACTGCATTATTGGTGGGAGTGTAAACTTGTTCAACCACTTTGGAAAGCAGTATGGAGGTTCTTCAAAAGACTACCATAGAGCTCCTGTATGACCCAGCAATCCCACTTTTGGGCATTTACCCAAAGATCAAACAACAAGGCCATACTAAAGCTACCTGCACAACGATGTTTATTCACCAGAGCTAAGATATGGAACCAACCCAGATGCCCCTCAGTAGATGAATGGATCAAGAAAATGTGTGTTTATATATATAATGGAATTCTATGCCTCCATCAGAAAGAATGGCACTGTCCCATTTATTAGGAAATGGAAAGACTTGGAAAAAATTGTATTACGTGAAGTAAGCCAGACCCAAAGAAACATAGGTCCCATGGTTTTCCTTATTTGTAGTAACTAGTATACGTCTAGGATAATCTTACCAGACTAAGCAGAAAAGGTCAAAAGATATATACACATGACCATATAAAATGATGCTAAGTGAAATGAACCCAAGATAGGGACACAAGAGATTTTATCTTTGTCACTGTTGTTTTTAATGCACTATATAATTTTTTTTGTTTCTTTTGTATGTTCTTCCCCCATTGTATAACCCGTTTTCACTGTATTTGATTCTGAGGCCCTGCATCTTGTATATACATTTGTCTAATCTGGGGAGGGTAAGGAGAAATAACAAAATGCTGAAACAAGGATATAGGTTGACTCATTGTAACAATGAGATGTACAAGATTCTATGTTGAAAACGAACTTTACAACTTGAGCGGGGAGGGAGGAGTTGAGGAGTGGGGAGGGAAGCGTTGGTAGGGGGAAAACAAAGGAGCTGGTAACAATGCTTGGCAGGAAATGTACTCATTCCCTTAGTCATGTAAATGTAACCTCTCTGTACAGTACGTTTACAATAAAAATGCATTTAAAAAAGAATGATTAAATTATATCGTATGCAGGTAAATGATTGGAACAAGAGATCATGATGTCAAAAGCCATACTGACAAGTCAAGTTTTCTCTCAAACATGGCAGCTAGTCCTTAAAAGTGAATGACAAGAGGAGGAGATGGGGAAAAACAAGTCGTTTAAGGATACAGGAGGACCTGTTGCAACAATGAGAAGTACAAGTTGTCATGTCCAAAACGAGCTTTACAACGTCGGTGGGGGGGATAGGATTGGGATTGGGATTGGGATTGGGAGGGTGGAGGCTGGGAAGGGATGTGAAGGGTAAACAAAGGAGGAGACTGCAATGCTTGGTAAGAAATGTATGCATTATCCTGCCCATGTAATTGTAACCCCTCTGTACAGTATGTTCACAAATAAAATTAAATTAAATTTTAAAAAAAGTGAATGACAAGAATGTGGTCATAGTTTTGTTTGGATGGGTACCAGCAGGTTAGTGAAATGAGAAGGTATAGAGATTTGAACATGGCCCAAGTGCCCTATATGCATATATGAAAATAGAAGGAAACATGGGGGCACACTATATGCATATGGGAAAATGGCTATGAAACCCCTTTGTACATCTAATATATACAGACCAAACAAGAGAAGTAAAGTTTTTTTTAACCAGAACATAGAATGCACATAAAGGGAATACTTGATTGACTATAGCATATTAAAATTAGAAGATTCTTAATACAACAAATTTTTTGCACCTTTCTTTAGGAACCTCTTAGAGTATTTAGACTAATAACTCCCTTAACTCCACTTAGTTAATATTCAAAGAACCACTTTTGCAAGGGAGTAGTATTTTGACTTATAAAATCAAATTCATAAAACTTATGAGAGATTTTTTAAACAGTCATTAATTTGTGACTACTGGAAACTCAACCAAGGATCAAATAAAATTTGAGTTTAATAGCAAACTGGCATTATATACAATTCTTTTCATTTTTACTTTAAGTCCTAATATTCAGTTATCACAGATGATTAAAATAGACAATGCAAAGTGTCATCTTCAGTAGAGAGGAATGAAGTCAGCTTAGTAAAGGCCCAGAGTTGGCTCTCTGTGGTTTGAAAGAGAAAAAAAGCTACTCATCTGCTAAAACAAAAATAACCTAAATTCCTGTTACAAATATTAACAACTCAATTTGCTTGGCCAGGATCATAGTTATAATAACATTAATCTTTCTACAGATGGAGGAAGAACAACTACACCTTTTAATGTACTCAAAACAAACAAACAAACAAAAAACTCCTTAGATGAAAGAAGTGAAAGGAAAGAAGTAAAATAAAGAAAGCTGTAGCTCTCCAAAAGGCACACATTTTTAAATAGGGTTTTTGTGCTGGTACTGGGGGTTTGAGATCAGGTCCTTGAGCCTCATCTTGCTCAAGGCTTCACTTCCAGCATTTTATGAGTAGTTTATTAGAGATAAAAGTCTCATGGACTTTCCTGCCTGGGCTGACTTAGAACCACGATCCTTCGATCTCAGCCTCCTGAGTAGCTAAGATTACAGGCATAAGCCACTGACACTTATATATGTTTTAAAATTTTAATTCACATATATCAAATAATTAATATATATACATTATTTATTTATATATAGAAATGTATTTATATATATATATATATATCTTATTTCTAATACATCAAGGGTAGGGACACAGTAAAAGTGAGAGAGTGTTCACCTAGGAAGCACAAAGCCCTGACTTCAAACCCTAGTACCGACCTTCCCCCATACAAAAAGAAGTCTGAGATTTTATAAAACCTTATAATTATTGTACTATAATTTCACATATTCTTATCGAAAGTATAACCAAAGCTCATATTCACAAGAGAGTTAGATGAATATTGTTAGTTATATATCCTTCCAAAGGCCACCCTCTTCTAGTTTTATCATTCAATTAAAGTTGTATAAAGGGCACTATGGTTTGGATTACATCTGAGTGATCCCCAAGTGTCCACTGTGTCTAAAAGTTTCCATCCCAGGATGGGTCTGCTTTTCAAAAGTATCACCTATTGGGAGGTCTTTATGTCACTGGGGATATGCCTTGGAAAGAGACTGGGGACCCTGCCTATTCTCTCTTTTTTCTCTGCTCTGGCTCTACTCTGACCAATTTTCTTCTATACAAACTCCTACCACAGTGGGCCACCATCCTCCTTACATTCTCACCAGAACTGAGCTGATGTAGGCAAAACTGTGACCTAAACTAAACATTTCTTGTGATAGCAGCCTTCACTATTTTGCTATACCAACATGAAGCTGATTGACACAAAGGGTTAGTGAATTCAATCCTCATTCTCTGTCCATGCCAAACACTAAGACAACCACGTGCAGCCTATACCACCTGAAGGGCTTTCACTACTGATTACTTTACCTTTGCAGCGAGTTGCAGTCCAATTTTGTCAGCTTCAGACTCCAGTGTTCTGTTGTATGGTCTATCAAACATGAACTAAGAAGAAATGGTATAGAAAAAAAAACTCCATTAAGGCAATTCATTTCATGACTAAAGGAATAACAAAGTGAAAATTTTTTAATTAATTTCATGGAGAAATTAGGATATAATTTTCTACATTATAATTAAGACTTAAAGGACATGGTGATATAAGTGTAAATATGGCCTTTATTACTATTACAGATTAATACTTTAAAAACATGGAAAAAGTAAAAAAAAGGCACACTTAACGAATTTCCAGGTGGTGTGCAGTATCATTAGTTAATTTCCAGTTATAACCTCACTATCGAATGCAGGGTTCCCTAAGAAAGCTTACTGATAAAAGCTTTTACTATGGCCAAGGCATATTCTGGTTGTATAGTTTAAAATGAAAAAAAAATAAATAATAGGTGTATAACATGCAGGAATGCTTCTAGAGAATTTATTTCAGTAAGAAAATTAACCATACTGCAGAATGTTCTTTCTTTGATAAATTATCTTAATTTCCTCTTCCTTTTCCAAGTATTGATTAGCCAAGAAAATGAAATTTTCTTTTTACATTAAATAAAAAATATAAATAGACATCGTAACTTTAATTTTCCTAATTACTTGTATTTATGAGCATGTTTTCCAGTTAAATTCTAATTTTCAGTAAGTACTAAAACTTTTTAGGAGATGGATCAATATGCAGAACTATTGAGAAAAAAAAGCTATTAATTGGGGAAGCAGTTTTTCAAAGGCAGTTGCATATCTGTGATGGCTAGAAATAACATAATTAATCTGATCCACAGGATGTATAGCTTTCTTCCTTCTGAAGCACATGTGTTTTAAGTTGACAAACTAAATCACATAGTATCTTCACTCTCAATGGTAGTCTGTACCTGTTGCACTGACTCTACTAATACAGAATTAAAAGTACTGCTATAAATAACATCAAATGTAATGATAGCTTAGTGCAGCTAGTAACAGACCAAACTCCTTTGAAAAGACTAAGAATAAAATTAATATCTCATATTTACTGAGTCCTTACTTTGTGGTAGCAACTATGTTAAATACTTTACTTAAATCAGTGGTTCTCAGAAGTGAAAGTGTGTGTGGCTAAAGTGGTTGAACTCTAGCCTTGAGTGGAAAAAAAAATCAGTGACTCAAGATAGTGTGATTTTGTCCCCTAGGACATTTGTGAAAGTTTGGAAATTATTACTTTTTTTTAAGATGAGGTCTCACTATGTTTCCCAGGTTGGTCTTGAACTTGTAGACTCAAGTAATTCTCTTACCTCAGCCTCCCAAGAAGCTAGGATCATATACAGATGTGTGCCACCAACTCTAGCTCTTGGAGAACTTTTTTGTTAGTGACAGACTTGAAATCAGGGCCTCATGCTTGATCAGCTTGCTTGTTCATGGCTAGTGCTCTAACACTTGACCGATGCCTCCAGCCCAGCTTTTTGCTCTCTAATTAGAGATGGAATTGTGCAGACTTTTCTGTCTGGGCTTCCTCTGAACCTCAATCCTCTAGGTCACAGCCTCTTGAGTAGCTAGCATTACAGGTATGAGCCATTTTGATTGTCACAACTGTAGGGAGAGAAAGCCACTAGCATCTATTGAATAGAGACCAGATATACTACTAAACATCCTATGATGCACAGGAGAATTCCCCATGACAAACAATAATCCAGTCCAAAATGTCAGTAGTTCTATCAATTGTGCATAAGTGTATATATCATTCAATCACATCAAATGAATTAATAGCACATGAATTTAGGCAATTCCCACACCATAACAAATTTAGATTAATTTCTGCTCTTCCAAATACAGAGAACAGTGTTTTATGGAGAGGAAAAAAAATTTCCTTGCCTGCAAAATTATCCAGGGGCCTCAACTTAAGGAAAAGGAATTCAAACAAAAGACAGCCCATTTTATTTTCCATTGAAGTATCAAGCTGGAGAATTACATTCCCATGCTGCAAAGGCAGGATTCAGCAAGTATGTCCAGAGTGAAAAACAGCTATAGCATATATTTTCTATGGCCATCTTCCATTATGAAAAAGAAAAGCATTTACAGATAGATGGGGGGAAATGACATTAATTCCTTTGTCATCCCAGCAGATCAATGATAGAAATAAAGTTCAAATTATGAAGTCCTATAACCAAAGTACTATCCATCTTTTCTTCTTCTTTTTGTGAACCTTCACTGCATGTAAGTGAAGTCAAATGATCTCAACACTTAACTTAGTTATTAAGTCTCAAAAGCAGTTTGTCTCAAAGAATGTTGCACATTAGATTTGAACAGCACCCAGATGGCACTCTGATGGGTGCTCTAACAAATCATTAAATAAACAAATAGCAGGCTGTTCCTAAATAACCAACTCTCTCCCAAGACAAAAGAAAATATTTGCAGAGAAAGACGTAAAATAAAATAATTAATCAGCTAACAAAGCAGTTGTGAAGCCCTCCTTTCCGTAGTGTTTTGAACAAAATGAGAGATTTAATAAATATGTAACTTCTATGAACAGAAATCAGCAAACACCAAGTAAGACTGCTGCTTTCAATATTTTTAAGGCAGGGTTCATTTAACTGGGAACAGGAGTACATAGTGGTAAAATAGCTTTAGCCAATCCCATATTCATTAAGATTTGGAGATTTCTTCCTAAAAAGAAATCTATCAAATATAAATATCTGGAGCAGGGACAGTTGCTCAGTGCACTGGAAGGGAGACTGAAAGGAAGGTTCAGAGACTAGGTTTTCTCTCTGTAAAGCTACCTATGGGGAGAAAAAATTACATTAGCCAAGTTACTAAGCCCTTTGACTCCATCCTTTATGTATTATTTAAGAGATGTTCTACTAATTAATTTAAATGCAGAGATAGAAAAATCTTCCCTAAAAGTGAGAAAACATGACACCAAAATTTAGTTTCCAAATTTTATATTATGAAATATGAAAACACTGGCAGCTGGACATCAGTGGCTCACTCCTTTAATCCTACTACTAAGAAGGCTGAGCTCTGAGGATCGTGGTTCAAAACGAGCCTGGGTAAGAAAGTCTTTAAATACTCAGAAAAAGTCAGAAGCAGCAATGTGTCTCAAGTAGTAGAATGCTAGCCTTGAACATAAAGAGAATCAGGGACAGCACCCAGGCCCTGAGTTCAAGCCCCAAGACTAGCAAAAAATAAAAATTAATAAAAATAGAAACATGGGTGACATTTGTTGCTTTACAGTAATATTAAAATATCTTCACCACAGGTCACTGTAAATTCAAGTGATTATCTCAGACTTACCTCCTGAAACTTAGACTGTATCCACTGGCCCAAAATTGCCAAGCTATCTCGTGGACAAATGGCCCAAATCATTGTGAGGAAAATCATACCCAGGAAATCCAACAAATGAACCAAACTAGCCTTTTCTGCCTAAAAATAATGAATATAGATTTAATAAGTTGAGAAAGTACATATTTACATTTTCTGGTTATCATGTGAATCACATAAAACAATTATATGTATTCAACTAGATTTCACCAACTAAGATCCAAAGTTTTTCTTCAGATTAGTAACAAAAAGTTCCCAGTAAGTTCTGGGTTTCCCTATGTATTTATTCACTCACTTAATTAACATTCACTTACTTAACATTAACATGCACTTAACATTTACTGATCTACTTGCTAACAGACACAAGCACAGCAACTCTACGAAAGAAGTATAATTGTCCCCATTTCGTACATAAAGAAGGTGAGAAGGAATGAGATCTTTAAAGCTGCTCAAATTCACACAGCTTTTACTCAAAGAATTTTTCCTAATATAGTCATTGTATCTTAAAAAATATTTTCTTTGCATTTTAATCATTTTAGTTTTTAATTTTTAATTATTTTAGTTTTGCATAATATGGAAGAGCTTCATTGCATGCATATTCTGTACTTTGAACAAGTTCAACCCCTCCATTATATTCCCATCCTTCCCCTTCTACTCTTCCCTTTTACAGTTTTTGATGGGTTTCATTGCACTGTCTTCATGATTGTGCATATGGTGTATGTGTGTGTGTGTGTGTACAATGTACTTCAATCTTCTTCATTCCTCAGTGTCCTTTCCTTTCTCTGTCCCCCTTCTCCTCCCCCAATAAATAACTATTAGAATGAATGAAACAGCCAGGCCTCAGTGATGCATATCTGCTATCCAGCTTAGCCACTAAAGAGGTTGAGATCTGAGGACTGTAGTTCAAAGCTAGCCAAAAAGTCTGTGAGATTCTTATCTACAATAAACTACCAAAAGGTCAAAATTAGAGCTGTGGCACAAGTGATAGAATATTAACCTTGAACCACAAAGCTCAGAGACAGTGTCCAGGTCCAGAGTTCAAGCCCTAGGACTCACATGCATGTACATGCGCACGCGTGCACACACACACACACACACACACACACACACACACACAAATGGACTGATACCAAGTTTAGTAGATATAGATTCCACTAACAAGCAGGTAACCACTACAGAAAAAAAAGGAAACATAGATCTCACACAGGTAAGCATTGTGGCACATTAGTCATATTATTCGTGGTCTTTTTAAACATTACTTTCCTCATCTATAAAACAGGGATAATAAAATACATGCTTCATAAGACATTAAGGTAACAAATGGGAAGGTACATATGAAAAAGCTTGGGAAACTGTAAGAGAGCAAGGTATAGTTATTACTTTGTATTAATTATACACAGCACATCATTCTAGACATTTCTGAGATGCTCCAAGCTATTCTGAGAATGAATAAAAAAGGAAGGAAACTGATCTACCCACTTAATAGTGATATCACTTTGCAACAATTAATTTTATGACTAGATTATAAGTATGTTAATAGTTATGGAAAGTCTAAATTTTAATTTGAAATAATTAGAGGTTGGGAATAATTACTCTTTTTTTACTAAAGAGACAGGTGATAAAAATAGTATTTAACAGAAACACTAATTACTAAGTATCAAATACTAAAGGCCATAAAAATTATCAAAATTAGACAATTGGCTAGTTTTAGGTAATATTAAAAGGCAATTACTCAAAACTAAAATTCTATCACTGAAAGAAACCTGAAAAGCTTCTGTTCCTTAAACAATATAACTTGTGAACTTCAAAGCAGTATTTCAATCACCAAATATTTATTATAGCTACTTACTGCATGCCCAAGAACTGCATGTGCAATTTCATGGCCCAGAAGGAAGGAAAGTTGGTGAATATCAGTCACACTATTTAAAAGCCCGGTGAAAATAAACATGTGTCCATTCTGCACCACAAAGAAAGTAATGTCACAATTAGAAAACCTTAAAAAAAAACTGAGGACATTAAATCTAGCAATCAAAATGATTGAGCACATTGACTTACTGGAAGCACAAAGGCATTTATATCAGGGGAATCAACCACATGAATAACCCAGCGGATCTCAGGAATCCCAGGAATATCTTTGTTGCATTCAATTAAATGATAAGCTACTTCTTTAACAGTCAGGTATCGAGGGTCTTTCTCAGTTAGCATATCATTTTTAAATTCTTCCATCCACTAGAAGAGCAAAAGGAGTCTTTATTTTACAAAGTGTTTAGTGCCACAAAATGTTTGTATTACTTCATGTTGAGTGATGTAGCTAGTGTGGAATACTTTAATTTTTAATTTTGTAAAACGTCTTATTTATTGAACATACAAATTTCTGAAAATTTGCATTATTCAAAGGCAATATGTTTCTCATGAAGGAATAAATTCTAACACTAAGGTACTTCACATTAACGTGTCAAAATCAAATTTTTATTTTTGTTTTCTACTAGCCTATATGCAAGCAAAAAGTCTAAAAGTTATCTTTACATTCCTAAGTATTTCAGAAAATAATACACTATGTAAAGAATAAACATTTAACATTACAAAGAAAATGCATAAGGAAATTACTTTTATTAGCTCACAAAATTTTAAAAACCTATACTTAATGTGAAATATAACTTTTACCCAAGAAAAGACATTTCACTAATTTTAAAGCAGTTTATTTACAGAGATTGGAAGGAAATTACTGAAAGTAAGGGCATAGAATTCTTCTACATGATGCTGATTGACCAGCCGCTTCACAGAGAAAGGTATTTTCTTTGAAGCTGTAGTTACAAGAGATTCCTCTAAGTATAGAGAGAAAATTAAGGATGTTCTGGAAACATTACTTCAATTTCCATAAAACATGTAACCTTCTCAGATGCGTTACAAGCACATAAACTTAGGGATGGGGATTACAACCCAAGTGGTGGGGTACCAGCCTAGCACACACAGGGCCCAGAGCTCACACCATAGTACTGCCAAAAAATTACGTTATGAATGTGGAGTTAAATAATCTTCATATGAATTAATACTTTAAAACATAATTCATTGATGTAAACTGAAACAAGCAAAAATACTGTTTCTGAAGATAATAAGATAATAATTATAGTTCCTTATATTTGTATATTTTATGTTTACATTTATAATTTATAATATATCTATAACACATCTATAATATAAAAACATGGAACATGTGTTTGAATTTTCATATCAAGCAGGTATTACAGTTTTTAAATGAACAATAATGCAGTAAAGTATATACATGTATAGACAGATATGCACATGTCTACAGAGGTCTTAAACATTTCTAAAGCAATATAAATGAGACTAGTCCTGTTTCAATCTTCCTAGAACTTTTTTTCTCAAACTTGCATCTAACTAAATGAATCCTAAGAAACATTTCAAATCTCTGCTTAGATTCTACTACAAGAAATTGCTCTTATTTTAAGAACAATCTTTACAGTTCTAAGCCATTGTTAATTCTTTTTATAACTGGCAACTTTCCTCTGACAAACCCTGAAGTTCATTTGGAAAAGGATACTACTAAGACCCAGCCATGTCAAAGTTATCAAGTGAGGTGAAGAGACATCAACTGACCAATGGTAACTGAGCACATACCATGTATGTACCGTGCACTAGCAACACCATGATGATTTCCATCCCTGTGGAATTCTGCCAGGGTCCAACTCTGCTACTATCTGGGTTATTATGCTTTCCAAGAAGTTAAAACTTCTGAATTCCATTTATTGTGCATTCAGAAAATATAGCCAGGCATGGTGGTACATGTCTCTCACCAGCACTCAGGAAGCTGAGACAGGAGGATTGTGATTTGCAGGCCAGCCTAGGTTACATAGAAAGCTCCAGGCCAGACCAGCCTGTGTAATACAGTATGATCCTGTCTTTAAAAAGAAAAATACAATAAATTGCTAAAATTCAAAAACAATGTCAGGGGGAAAAAAATCTAACTCATTATACCTGGTGTAATAATTCTCACACTACATATACGAGATATATATACACTATATAAGGTTTTATAATATGTATATATATATATACTATATAAGGTTTTATACAAAGTATAAAAATTCTCACACGATAGGTATATCATCAATTAATGTACACTAATTTGCACTACTCTGCAAAACAGACACGGTCCTTGGCTCCACAGAGCTCAGTCTAGCAATGGAGACAATTCAGAAAGTTAATGTTTTGAAGGAACAGTAAAGTAAAGAGAAGTACAGTAAGCTCAAGGAAGAGAAAAAAAGTAGGAAGCCTAACTCTATACTGCGAAGCACAGGGCACAACCATAATTGAGCTAGTTTATAATTGATTCTGAATGCAGGACACAACCTAGCAGCTAGGCCAGTCACTGCCTAACCCAGTGGCAACAAGCCAGGAAGGCTTTCCTGAGACACTGTCAATAAAGGGAGCATGCACTTAGCAGGAGTTAACTGGGTATATGGGGGCAATTCAGTGTGAAAGGCCTTCTGGGAAACACTGCCCACCTCATATCAAAGTCTAACATAAAACAAGTATATCTTTCATACTCAGAAACTTTCCTGCTTTGGGTGTTATCTAATTAAAAACAATTATTACTACTTACTACTTCATATTCCAGCTCTGACAGGAGTCTGAAATGCTCTTTCCCCAATAATAGTAGCTTGCTCCGTCCTGTGATTGGGCTCACTTCCAGGTGAGTAAAATAAAATACTATAAATAGCAGTCCAAAGCTACTCAAACCAAGGAGTAACTTCCACTTATTCCTCCTTATACTCTCTTTAAATAGTTCCTTCTTGTTAGGAGGAAGTGCCTGCCACCATTTCCTTATTCCCCTAGAGCAAAGAGAAAAAAATCAAAGTTCTGATCACCATATCAGCATGCATCACTGAAATTCAAATGCATATGCTAGAATTTTATGTCATCAAAGACTCCAATCATTGTATTTCACTGTATGGATAGGACTTTATTTTATGTACTTTCACTAAAGGATGAAAGAGTAATTAACTACATATAATTGAAAACTCTAATGCTCATTTAAACTTTCTTCTTCAACTATATTAAGACAAACACTAAGTAAGAAGTTACTGTGCTACAACTCCTGCTACTGAGCAGTTATTATATATCCCACACAAAGTCCTTTTCTAATCCATTACCCATATTAATCTTCCTGTAACCACATTATAGGAGATTGGGGCATAGAGAAGTTAAGCAACTTGTCCAAAATGACGGAAATAATACAAGAAAACCAGGTAATACAAAGGATGACATTAAAGAGACCGACCGTGTGACCATCGACCGGGGATAAACGGCACTAATAAACATTGGAGTGGTACAGTACAATAAATCTGTACTTTCAAACAGTACTCTGCACACTGTCCTCAGACTTCCAGCATACTCTGACTGCTATTGCAAGGTACAAGGGAAACCACTTCAACATTTTTGGGGGAAAAATATTGCTCAAAAGCAGAAATTCCACTAGCTTGTAAAGGAGAGGTGATAAGGCACTGGAAATAAGAAAATGGGAATGTTTATAGGTAATGAATGAGAGGGAGCAACAGGTCACTCCAGAGCTCAGCAGAAGTCACAAACACTTGGACAATAAGCCACGTTTTCAATAATGTGACCAAAAAACAAATTCCTTGTGAGTTATTTATAAAATGTTGATAAGAATCCAACATATATACAACATTCCCTTAAAATTCTTTTACAAAATAGTTACTTTCTGAAAAGCATCTTAATTTTGTTACATTACTGACCATGTCCCAAATAGTAAAGGTCAATTGCCAGCCTGTGACCTCCTGGAGGTGGTGGACCTTTAAGAGGTGAAGCCAAGTGGGAGCTGAGTCATTGGGGCCTACCTTTGGTGGGATACTGGAACCCCAGCTCCTTCCTGCTTCTCTTTAGGCTCCCGGGCCATCAACAAGGGAAAAGGCCTCCTGTACCACACACTCCTACCATGAAGAACTGTGCCACCACAGTCCCAAGAAACCATGGACCAAAACCACTGACACAGAGACGATGAGCCTCCCTCCCTTCATGTTCCCTCAGGTGTCTGTTACAGTGGCAGTGACACATGAAATGCCATAGAGAAGGCATTTATTTAAAGCAGAAGGACCAGTAATCAAACTATTACTATTTCAAAAAGAAACAATTTCAAACTTTAGATGAATTTAATTACTTCTTATTTAAAGTGTATGTATACAGTCTGGAAGTGTGACTAAGCAGTTCAAACCCCAATACTACCAAAAAAAGAAAACAGAAAATGTATACAGAACATACTCTAAAAATGAAATTTTGGGTAATTTCCAGTGGTAACCAAAAAATACATATAAATAATTTACAAGAATGAGAACATATTAAAGCTTAGAAAGCTGTTACTTATCCTAAGAGATGAGGATATGGTTATTTAACTTATTTTCTGAACGCCAACACTAAATTGCAAAGACACAATACATTAGGGGAAGTTCTTGAGTTTTGAGTAAATGTAAATTAAAGAAAAGAGATTACTATAAAGGACTTCATAGTTAACAGTTTTAAGAAACCTTTATGAAGAGGTAATGATTAGCTTTCTTCAATCTTCATAAAGCAAGAGAAAATAGGGCTTAAAAACTATTTACAGCCATAAAAGTAGTAATTGTTATGAAGAATTACCATAAAAAATAATAAATGTTTTGGAAATAGAACAGGAAAAATAAATAGTGATGGTCTAAGAGTTAACTTTGCTAGGGACGAGCCCTTTCATCAATTACTCAGTTTCATGATTCACAACCTAAAATTTCACAAAATAAATAGGCAATATATAACTCATATATATGAGTTATAGTCAACACTTCTGATTCTTGCAATTATAAATATATTTAAAAGCCTAGATCAATACACAACTTTTAAACATATTTCTATACCATAATGTGCAGCAAAGTACTTTAAGATTTTTAAATCACAAATAACACAATTGAATGAGACGTACTGTTCAGAAACTTAACATTGAGCTAAACATGATGGGGGGAAGATTAGCAAGGCTTCTTAAAAAGTATGAATACTAAAGCTTAATTTTTAAGTTAGTAAAGATGATAAAAATAATTGTTCCACAAATAATAAAAATACAAAAAGTCATTTTTCCAAAGCATTCTACCTGCCCACAATGATTGCCAGCAGCTTCTGCACAGGTTTCAGGATGACCAACAGGAGAGGCACAGGGGCGGCCTGCATGCAGGGAGAAGTGTGGAGACTCTGGGCTGCTGTTCTTTCCCGAGAACAGCTGGGAGACCACAAGGACCTGAGAGCAGGGAGCACAGCACCTGGCTTTATCATCACCCATCCTGGAAAAGAGCCACTTCCTGTAGCACCTTTATGCGCATCCATCCATACTGCCCTACTTTGGGCACTTGAGAGGCATTCTGGTCTGTTATTGAAAGTCCTACAGAAACGAGCAGGCAGGAAAGTGACCACACCACAGTGACTGGCTGACTTGAGTCCCTGATACCTATGCACTACTTGATGGCTGCCTGTGGAAGTTACTGGGCATGAGTTCCATTTGGCCCAGTTAGCCAGAGAATGACACCGGGAGAAAAAGTAGTTTCTAGTGCCAGACTGCAGTCCATAGATGAAGCTCATCTTCCTTTTTCTTGGTTACCTAGGATACAAAAGATAAAATATAAATACCCAAGAAAATATTTATCAAAGTGGAAATATCATGCTTATTAAGGTGCACTAAGTGTCCTTTCTTTAGCATCTCACACTAAATCCTTTTGGGCTCTGTTCAGGGCCTTCCCTGTTCAAAGCTCCAGCCTCTCACAACATAGAACAGAAGAGTATGTATAGCATTACTGCAATGTGGCTTCAGAAACCAGAATTCTTTCAATCATTTTCTTATTTTCAGCTTGGAAGAAATCTATTTTAACAACAAAGTATTTGGAGAATAAGAAACAGGCTAGATGAAAACAACAGCAAAAGTGTCAATTCGTAGTAACTGTGGGTAGAAAGAGATGTAACAGGACAAAAAAAAACTTAATTTTAAAAACCCCATCTTTTTTTTTTTTTTGCCATCCTGGAGTTTGAACTCAGAACCTTGTACTTGCTAAGCAGATATTCTACCTCCACTTGAGCCACTCAGGTAATCCTGTAAAATGTTATCTTAGAAATTGCAAATTTAGGGGCTGGGAAGGTGGCTTAGTGGTAGAGCACTTGCCTTGCATGCATGAGGCCCTGGGTTCGATTCCTCAGCACCACATAAGCAAAAAGAAAAAAGCCAGAAGTGGCATTGTGGCTCAAGTGGTAGAGCACCAGCCTTGAGCTGAAGAGCTGAGGGACAGCGCCCAGGCCCAGAGTTCAGGCCCCACGACCGGACCCCCCAAAAAAATTGCAAATTTATTCCTTCAAATAAAATCCTGAGACTCGTAGTTAGGGTCAAGATGTAGTAAAATGGACCAAATTCATTTTCCTACCTAAACAACCAAAAAAGCCAGACAATATGTGAGACAGTAAGTTTCAGCAGGCTTGACATGGGCAGTGGAGGACTGAGAGACTAGAGACAAACAAGATGAGTCCTACAACTGCCCTGCTTACTTCTGGACAGTTTCCAGGCCTCAGGCACACAGGAAAAACATAGGTGGAGTCCAGTGGTGTCACTAAGCTGAAGATGGGAAGCTGAGAGATCAAGCATACCCAAGCAGCCAGTGCTTACAGGGGAGAGGACAGACAACAGAGGGCTGGACACAGAGTGATACCTGACATCTGCAGAAAAGGCCTGGCTCCTATTCAGCTGAGTCCTAGCAAGACATACACGTGAAGAAGGAAAACAAAAACAAACAAACAAAAACCTCTAAAACCTGTCCCCTCCCAAAAGTTAAAAAAAAAATCTGAAAAGACTAGAGCACATACAATATGCAATGCTCAGAGAATAGGGTCCAGTGTCTGTTCTGACCTTTCAAAGTTAAAAACCTAATACATTAATAATTCACAGCATTGGGAAGAATACACTGAAGAGTGTGAGACAAAAATTAAGTCTTACAATAAAAGGTGTTCTGACCTCACATAACAGATTAAAAGCAACACCCAGTGGCCTCTTGGCATTTGAGCTAAAATCTATTATAGTAAAAACAATACCCAAAAAGATGAAACTGTTTCTAAGAAACAACATCCTGGGGATTCTGGCAGGGGAGGGGGTGTCAACTGGAGAGAAGTTCATAAGAATGCAAATATACCCAACACTTCACAAGGCACAGTTTACAATACATATTACCAGGAGTGCAAGAGGTTAAAAAATATACTTGGTCCATAATCAGAATATCAATGAACAATAAATAGTAATTAGAAATATCAATGCAAAACAAATAATTAGAAACATCAATGAAACATAATACAGATGGCAGTTTCAGTAGATGAGTATATTCAAGTAGCTATAACTATACAGTAGACCTTTGATATGGGCATGTATATGCCTCCAGCCAGACCACCATTAAGGAATAACTGGACAGTCAGGATGCCGAGTTCATATTGTACAGCAGATGCTTGACTCCTTTTTTCCCATAATGCCCCCAATTTCCACTAAAAAGCATTCCACCTTTCAACAGATCTAACATTGTCACTTTATGGCTTAAATTAAGCACATTAATTTTTACTCTGCTTTGGGGACACCACGTCCTTATAGAGGACGATCACACCGTGATTCAAACACAAATGGTAAAAACACAGACTGACTAAGCTTCTCCCAAAAACTGATCTGCATATAAACACGTGAGATTTAAATTTCATTTCTATTTTAACTATATGTGGCCAAAAACACCTGTAATAAATCTGCAAATAAGGTAAGCTTATTGATGGTTAAGAAACTAAAGGAAAACTTGAACAGGTTCTTGTACAGACATGGGCTATTTCCTTTTTTTTTTTTTTTTTGGTGCGGGGGGGGGGGCTTGAACTCTGGGTCTGAGCCCTGTCCCTCAACTCTTCAGCTCAAGGCAAGCGCTCTACCACTTGAGCTACAGTGCCACTTCCAGTTTTCTAGTGGTTTATTGGAGATAAGAGTTTCACGGACTTTCCTGCCCTAGCTGGCTTTGAACCGCGATCCTCAGATCTCAGCCTCCTGAGTAGCTATTTCCTTTTAAAGGTCTACATCTGGGTATAGTGGTACATCTTATAATCCTTTCCTTTTAAAGGTCTACATCTGGGTATAGTGGTACATCTTATAATCCTGTAACTGGAGAGGCTGAGGAAGAGTGAGTCTAAGAACAGCCTGGGCCACAAAGGGGAGTCTACAAAAAAAAAAAATTCCTGCATTTAATGTAAATAAGAAAACCCATAATTCTAAGGTTAAGATATACTGGATGAAACTTATACTAGAACTAAGTATTTAGGAATAAAAACCCGTAGACTTGAAGACATGCCAGATAGAAACAGACTGGAAAAAAGGCATCAAGGGTCACAACTTTGAGTAGACTAATATCCTTGTAATTGTAATCTTCAAAAAAGGGAAATCTTAAAGAAATAATGGCCCAAAACTGCCAAAATGTGATGAAAATTATAAATTCAATAACCCATGAAGTTTAATGACTCCCCACACACACACAAGACACATAAATGAAACAATTCCAAGGCACATCATAACTTCTTTAAACCAATGAAACAGAAAATATCAGATTTGTTATTTTCCATTAGATGTATAAACTCTTCAAAAGAAGAAATAACCTGATCCAGGAGTAGAGGCACACACCTGCAATCCCAGATATTTAGGGGCAGGGATAGGAGGATCTAGGTTTGAGGCCATCCCAGGAAACAAATTTTAGCTAGAACCTCTCTCATGAGCTGGGCATGATAGTACAAACACCATCCCAGCTTTGTGGGAAGTACAGGGAAAAGATCCAGGTCCAAGGCTAGAACTGGTAAAAGCTGAAACTCTATCAAACACAAACTAAAGCAAAAAAAGGCTGGGACATGGCTCAAGGGGTAAGGCATTTGCGTATTATGTGGCCCTGAGATGAAAACCCAGAACTACCAAAATTTTAAAAAAATTGAAGAACCTTAAACTATGTTACCCTGTGTACAATTGTTGTGTGTTAACTACGTATCAAACTAATTTTTAAATACTAAAAAAGGCACAATACCAAAGCATAATGTGTAAACTTTGTATCCCATACCAAAAGAAAAAAAAAATAGCTTTACAAGACAACAAAACAAGATGAGGAATCTGAACATGGATTTGTTCTGAAGTAACTTTAGGCGATTATTTTCTTAGAGAGAGTCTGGTGATAGAAGCGGCTCTTACTACTGACATTTGTTGGAGTATCTCTTCATGATAACTGATACTTTCAAATTCTACTGAAAATGTATACACACATACATGCACACACAAACAAGCTCAAGCTCTGCACACAGAGTCAATACTGTTAGCAATTATCATATCAACATGATGGTTATATGTGTGTGTTCCTTAATTTTCTTGCTGTTTTATGTTTTTAAAAAGTTTTAAAATTTATTTAGTAAAAGTTAAGGGAGGCATGTAAAACTAACAGCTTTGGCTAATACAGTATTATCTAAAAAGATATTTAAGAACTGCAAGTTTTAATAAACAGATTATATATTAAACTATTTGAAAATACTAAAACTAGCTTTAATGTAGATTATACATTTTACTCTTTCGTTATTCATATATAAAGTGAATAAAGGTCATGCTAAGTTGAAATTCATTTCAAGTTGTCTTTTTATAAGTTAGTACAAAATTATAATCTAGACTGAATTGTAGTAGTTTGACATCATTAACAAGATGATAGTCTTTTTTTCATTTTTAAATGAAGCTGAAAAGTGGTAAAATAATATAATATAAATAATATAATAATAAATTTATAAAATAATATAACATAAATATTAATCATTTAAGCCTGAAAATAATTTCAAAACTAATAGTCATCATTTAATGATGGGATTTAAACTTTCTACTACAAATCAAACTACAAAAGTAAGACAAACCAATGTTCTTTCTTCTATTTCATATGTGGTGAGTTACTAAATGGATAAGTGCTAAATACCTGCCTCATTTCAGCCTCAATGTAGAAAATGGGCTTAAGGACATATCTGTGCCTAGCGACCCCACTGGCCACTTAACAAGAAGTGACTATCTTAACACAGAAAAAAGTTATACCAAACAGTGTCCAGCATAGGACTGTAAAGCCTGGCTAAGTTGGCCCTAAAGTTGGTGCTATATGGCAAAACAAAGTAAGAAGCAGTTACACATGAGTTCAGATAAAAATTAATAACATTTTAATATTATAAATGTTTATTAGAATTACCTGGGGGTTCCTTCTGTACTTGTTTCCCAATTTTCAACAATGAGTCAGTTCTAAAATATCCTAGATTAACCCTGGTGACTTTTGACAACCAAAAACTTGAAGTCACCATTAAATAATCTTACTAATTCCACCTTCTAAATGACTCCACCCAATTCTTCCTGGCTTTGCCACCCTGGGGTGATGGTTATCCAGTTCACCCCCAAAATTAGTGCTAAAGCAATTGTTGCAAAACCCAAACAGAACAACAGAATCTAGTCAATAATTCACATAAAAGTCTTGTGCTACTTTTTTGTTTGTTGAACTCAGAGCCTTGGTTCTGTCCCTGAATTATTTCTCTCAAGGCTAGCACTCTACCACTTAGACCCACAGCTCCACTTTCAGTTTTCTGGTGGTTAATTAGAGATAAGAGTCTCAGACTTTTTCTGCCCAGGCTGGCTTTTAATTGCGATTCTCAGATCTCAGCCTTCTGAGTAGCTAGGATTATAGGAAGGAGCCACCTGCACCCAGCTAAATGTCCTATGCTGGTAACACAATGCAGCTATTGGAACCAGAGATCTGTTCTGGGCAGAGAGGCAGATTTATAAATAACAGCAATAAATACTTCCTGTAAGAACACTGTTTAGTATGACACAAGATTTAAAGCAGCACTGCACCCTTTCACCAGATGTGAAGTAAAGGAAATGGACCTGGCTTATTGTTGCCATTTGATTTCTAGTAGGGATGGAAATGCTCTGTGTATGTATTGCTCAGGATAGCAGCCCCTTGCAGGTGGCTGCTGAGCACTTGATATGTGACTAGTTCATCTGAAGGACAGAAATGATTAGTTAATATGAATCAGCAGCCATACAGTATGTGACTACTGGGTATCACATTGGAAAATGAAGATCTGTAGGGTCAAAGTAAGACACTGTGGTATCAGCAAAGCCACAGGGAGGCTAACATAGATTCAAGCCCATCTAAAAGAGGTCTGACTAGTACCATGGGATTTGAGTCTAGTCACCACAAAGGCTAACAACTCGAAGTCCAACAAACTAAACACCAGGAAATGGGGTGGGAGGTCAGAGTAGGTGAATGAAGGGGGGAAGTCTTAAAATTCAATGCACATCCTACAAAATTAAGAAAACTGAGAGAAGTGATAGGGTTGAGAGGGGCGTGGAAGGATGAAAAGGGTGGCACTGATTAAGACGTAGCGTATGTGTTGAATGGCAATGTATACAGCTACTTCAAGACAGGAGAAAAAGAAAAACAAAAACAAAGCCTTCAAGGAAAGCCAGAATTCAGATTTTATGTGAAATTTATCTATTTTAAGTGTTGGTAACAAATTTAAAATATTATTAGCATACAATTGTAGAAAGGAGGCCCCATATGACATTTCCATACATGCACACAACATATTCCAATCAAACTCACACTCTTTATACACCCTTACCCCCCTATAACCTTCTAAAACAATTTCAAGGGGGGTGGGGGTGGTATGGGAAGGGATGGGAAGGGGAAACAAAGGAGGAGGCAACAATGCTTGATAAAAATGTACTCATTATCTTGCCCATGTAATTGTAACCCCTCTGTACGGTATTTTCACAATAAATAAATAAATAAAAATAAAACAATTTCAACAGGTTTCTCTTTGACTACCTGGATGAAACACTTATCTCACTCAAATATTGACCTCTGGATTGTTACTCCATTCACTCAACTTTTCATTCATTCACTCATTCAATATTATAGGTGCAACTATATGCCAGACACCCATTCCGGATGAGAATACTGCAGAGAATAAAAACAGACAAAGCCACCTGCCCAATCTGTAAAAACAAATATATGCCAGGTGCTGGTGGCTCACCCCTGTAATCCTAGCTACTCAGGAGGCTGAGATCTGAGGATCATAGTTCAAAGCCAGCCTGGGCTTATCTCCAATAAACTACTAGAAAATTGCAAGTAGCACTGTGGCTCAAGGGGTAGAGTGCTAGCTTTGAGCTGAAGAGCGGAGGGACAGGGCCCAAGCCCAGAATTCAAGCCCCACCATGGAACAGAAACAAACACACACACACACACACACACACACACACACAAATATACATATATATGCTATAAATATGCTAAAGTACACAAAATGAATTTTAGGAAAGATATACAAGGTACTCATAAAGATTATCTGGGTGGCAGGATGGTGTACCCAAGACTTTAAGACTTAAGTATTTCTGTGCTGTTTACATTTTTACAGAATATATTACTTTTGGGCTGGGAAGGTGGCTCAGTGGTAGAGCGCTTGCCTTGCATGCATGAGGCCCTGGGTTCGATTCCTCAGCACCACATAAGCAGAAAAAAAAAAGCCAGAAGTGGCACTGTGGCTCAAGTAGTAGAGTGCTAGCCTTGAGCTGAAGAGCTGAGGGACAGCACCCAGGCCCAGAGTTCAGGCCCCATGACCAGACCCAAAAAAAAAAACCCAAAAACAGAATATATTACTTTTGTAAACTCTAAAATCAAGCTAGTATTTTTGTAATTACCTTTTTTTTTTTCTTGTGTCACTGGGGATTGAACTCAGGGTCAAGGGCTCTATCACTTGAGTGATGCTCCCAACTCTTCCCTTTTGTTTTTGAGATAGGTTCTCACTAACTGTGCTGGGCCTGGCCTCCAACCTTAATCTGTCCGTGCCTGTTTCCTGAAGAGCTGAAATTAAAAGCATACACCACTATGCCTATTTCGTATTATTTTTAGGCTTCAATTAACTTCATAATGTGGCCTGCCACTTCCCCCCAGGTACCTGTATTGACCCCTCCTCACCCCATTGCTAAATGCCAGAACTTCTGATTTACTTGCTCATGTCTGAACAATCTCCTATGTCTGCCTATGCACATCTACACTGCTTAGTTCTGCTCAAATGACAAGAAAACTGCTCATCTCAGAACATAGGAGGCACTCTTTATTCTACTGACAGAGGCAAAAACAAAAGCCCTAGAACATGTACATAATTAAAATCATTATATTATCTTTGACAATCAAGTGTCACTTAGAACAAAAATAGTAGCTGATAATCTGTATTCCCTGGCTTACCCTTAAAATAGGGTGAAGAAGAAATCTATTTATATATTTTCAAAGAGCCAATCACTAGACCACCGGGCACCTAAGAAACTAGTGCTGATACAGTCTCTTTAGAAGAACTGTGGTAGGTCAACAAATGGAGCCGGCCGACTTCTAGGATTACTGAATTAATGGTGGGAGAACAATAATGAAACAATCCGCATGGCTAGCCTCTTTGCACATTTCAGATCCTTAATTCTTTTCTGCGGCGTCTGGGAATGAGCAAGTTCGGCTCACTCCGGCGCAGGCAGCTGAAGCCTCGGAGACAAGTGTTCACAACTCCTGCTGGAAATGACTATTTCTTCCCCGGTTTCTATGGAAACCGCTGTCACATTGGCAAAAAAAAAAAAAATAGGAGGCGTACTTTAACACAGTCACTCGGGCCGAGTACACACAGCACTGGAAGGCGTCGTAAGAAATGGGTACATGAGCCGATCGCAGGGCCTAGTGGGTTCTGGGGCGGCCCGAGGTCGCAGGGCGCCTCCCGCTCCAGCCCGGCTGCGAGGAGGGGCCGGGCCTCGGAGCCTCGGGGCGCATCTCGACAGGGGGTCAGCGCCCGAGGCGCAGGACGCCCGGCCCCGGCGGCGCCACGCGCCCAGGGCACCCGCGTTCCCCGAGGGCGACACTTCCAGAGAACCCACGTGGGCCTTCCGCGCACAGGTTTACCACGAGCGGGTCGGGCAGGACGCCGCCCTGCTTTCCCCACAGCCAGCCAGGCCGGCCAGGCCGCGGGGCGCCGGGGAGGGAGGAGGGG